AAAAAACGCCTTTCTAGGCCATAAAAACAAGAAGTTCAAAAAGTCAAAAAATCGACATTTTCCCAAAGGGGTTAACCCATGGTTTTGGTCCAAAAATGACCATTTTTCCACACTTTCAGTTTTTAAGCAATATAGGCCAGGAAAATGTCTTTTACCATATTCTAGAACGAAAAAACGCCTTTCTAGGTCATAAAAACAAGAAGTTGAAAAAGTCGAAAAATTGACGTTTTTCCAAAGGGGTTAACCCATGGTTTTGGTCCAAAAATGGCCATTTTTCCAACTTTTATTTTTTAGGAAATATAGGCCAGGAAAATGTCTTTTACGCTATTTTAGAACGAAGAAACGACTTTCTAGGCTATAAAATCAAGAAGTTCAAAAAGTCGAAAAATCGACATTTTCCCAAAGGGGTTAACCCATGGTTTTAGTGCAAAAATGGCCATTTTTCCAACTTTCATTTTTTAAGCAATATAGGCCAGGAAAGTGTCTTTTACGATATTCTAGAACGAAAAAACGCCTTTCTAGGCTATAAAAACAAGAAGTTGAAAAAGTCGAAAAATTGACATTTTTCCAAAGGGGTTAACCCATGGTTTTGGTCCAAAAATGGCCATTTTTCCAACTTTTATTTTTTAGGAAATATAGGCCAGGAAAATGTCTTTTACGATATTCTAGAACGAAAAGACGGCTTTCTAGGCTATAAAAACAAGAAGTTCAAAAAGTCGAAAAATTGACATTTTTCCAAAGGGGTTAACCCATGGTTTTGGTCCAAAAATGGCCATTTTTCCAACTTTTATTTTTTAAGAAATATAGGCCAGGAAAATGTCTTTTACGCTATTTTAGAACGAAGAAACGACTTTCTAGGCTATAAAATCAAGAAGTTCAAAAAGTCGAGAAATGGACATTTTCCCAAAGGGGTTAACCCATGGTTTTAGTCCAAAAATGGCCATTTTTCCAACTTTTTTTTTAGGCAATATAGGCCAGGAAAATGTCTTTTACGATATTCTAGAACGAAAAAACGCTTTTCTAGGCCATAAAAACAAGAAGTTGAAAAAGTCGAAAAATTGACGTTTTTCCAAAGGGGTTAACCCATGGTTTTGGTCCAAAACTGGCCATTTTTCCAACTTTCATTTTTTAAGCAATATAGGCCAGGAAAGTGTCTTTTACGATATTCTAGAACGAAAAAACACCTTTCTAGGCCATAAAAACAAGAAGTTGAAAAAGTCGAAAAATTGACGTTTTTCCAAAGGGGTTAACCCATGGTTTTGGTCCAAAAATGGCCATTTTTCCAACTTTTATTTTTTAGGAAATATAGGCCAGGAAAATGTCATTTACGCTATTCTAAAACGAAGAAACGGCTTTCCAGGGTATCAAATCAAGAAGTTCAAAAAGTCGAAAAATCGACATTTTCCCAAAGGGGTTAACCCATGCTTTTAGTCCAAAAATGGCCATTTTTCCACCTTTTTTTTTAGGCAATATAGGCCAGGAAAATGTCTTTTACGATATCCTAGAACGAAAAAACGCCTTTGTAGGCTATAAAAACAAGAAGTTGAAAAAGTCGAGAAATTGACGTTTTTCCAAAGGGGTTTTACCAAAACCATGGGTTGAAACCCATGGTTTTGGTCCAAAAATGGCCATTTTTCCAACTCTTATTTTTTAGGAAATGTTGGCCAGAAAAATGTCTTTTACGATATTCTAGAACGAAAAAACGCCTTTTTAGCCCATAAAAACAAAAAGTTCAAAAAGGCTAAAAATCGACATTTTCCCAAAGGGGTTAACCCATGGTTTTGGTCCAAAAATGGTCATTTTTCCAACTTTCATTTTTTAAGCAATATAGGCCAGGAAAATCTCTTTTACGATATCCTAGAACGAAAAAACGCCTTTCAAGGCTATAAAAACAAGAAGTTCAAAAAGTCAAAAAATCGACATTTTCCCAAAGGGGTTAAGACATAGTTTTGGTCCAAAAATGGCCATTTTTCCAACTTTCATTTTTTAAGCAATATAGGCCAGGAAAATGTCTTTTACGATATTCTAGAACGAAAAACGCCTTTGTAGGCTATAAAAACAAGAAGTTGAAAAAGTCGAAAAATTGACGTTTTTCCAAAGGGGTTAACCCATGGTTTTGGTCCAAAAATGTACATTTTTTTTTTTTTTTTTTAGGAAGTGTAGGCCAGAAAAATGTCTTTTACAATATTCTAACTCGAAAAAACGTCTTTCTACGCCATAAAAACAAGAAGTTCAAAAAGTCAAAAAATCGACATTTTCCCAAAGGGGTTCACCCATGGTTTTGTTCCTAAAATGGCCATTTTTCCAACTTTTTTTTTTAGGCAATATAGGCCAGGAAAATGTCTTTTACGCTATTCTAGAACGAAGAAACGACTTTCTAGGCTATAAAATCAAGAAGTTCAAAAAGTCAAAAAAAAAACAAGAAGTTGAAAAAGTCGAAAAATTGACGTTTTTCCAAAGGGGTTCACCCATGGTTTTGTTCCAAAAATGGCCATTTTTTCAACTTTTTTTTTAAGCAATATAAGCAAGGAAAATAACTTTTACGATATTCTAGAACAAAAAAACGCCTTTCTAGGCTATAAAAACAAGAAGTTCAAAAAGTCAAGAAATCGACATTTTCTCAAAGGGGTTAACCCATGTTTTTGGTCCAAAAATGGCCATTTTTCCAACTTTTATTTTTTAGGAAATATAGGCCAGGAAAATGTCTTTTACGATATTCTAGAACGAAAAAACGCCTTTCTAGGCGATAAAACCAGAAGTTGAAAAAGTCGAAAAATTGACGTTTTTCCAAAGGGTTAACCCATGGTTTTGGTCCAAAACTGGCCATTTTTCCAACTTTTATTTTTTAGGAAATGTTGGCCAGAAAAATGTCTTTTACGATATTCTAGAACGAAAAAACGCCTATCTAGGCTATAAAATCAAGAAGTTCAAAAAGTCGAAAAATGGACATTTTCCCAAAGGGGGTAACCCATGGTTTTGGTTCCAAAATGGCCATTTTCCATCTTTTATTTTTTAAGCAATATAGGCCAGGAAAATCCGTTTTACGATATTCTAGAACAAAAAAACGCCTTTCTAGGCTATAAAAACAAGAAGTTCAAAAAGTCAAGAAATCGACATTTTCTCAAAGGGGTTCACCCATGGTTTTGTTCCAAAAATGGCCATTTTTTCAACTTTTTTTTAAGCAATATAAGCAAGGAAAATAACTTTTACGATATTCTAGAACAAAAAAACGCCTTTCTAGGCTATAAAAACAAGAAGTTCAAAAAGTCAAGAAATCGACATTTTCTCAAAGGGGTTAACCCATGTTTTTGGTCCAAAAATGGCCATTTTTCCAACTTTTATTTTTTAGGAAATATAGGCCAGGAAAATGTCTTTTACGATATTCTAGAACGAAAAAACGCCTTTCTAGGCGATAAAAACCAGAAGTTGAAAAAGTCGAAAAATTGACGTTTTTCCAAAGGGGTTAACCCATGGTTTTGGTCCAAAAATGGCCATTTTTCCAACTTTTATTTTTTAGGAAATGTTGGCCAGAAAAATGTCTTTTACGATATTCTAGAACGAAAAAACGCCTATCTAGGCTATAAAATCAAGAAGTTCAAAAAGTCGAAAAATGGACATTTTCCCAAAGGGGGTAACCCATGGTTTTGGTTCCAAAATGGCCATTTTCCATCTTTTATTTTTTAAGCAATATAGGCCAGGAAAATCCGTTTTACGATATTCTAGAACAAAAAAACGCCTTTCTAGGCTATAAAAACAAGAAGTTCAAAAAGTCAAGAAATCGACATTTTCTCAAAGGGGTTAACCCATGTTTTTGGTCCAAAAATGGCCATTTTTCCAACTTTTATTTTTTAGGAAATATAGGCCAGGAAAATGTCTTTTACGATATTCTAGAACGAAAAAACGCCTTTCTAGGCGATAAAAACAAGAAGTTGAAAAAGTCGAAAAATTGACGTTGTTCCAAAGGGGTTAACCCATGGATTTGGTCCAAAAATGGCCATTTTTCCAACTTTTATTTTTTAGGAAATATAGGCCAGGAAAATGTCTTTTACGCTATTCTAGTCATCGTCCTAGGGTCTAACTCAATTTGATTCATGTCCTCTATGGCACAAAAAAGAAAAAACTTTAGTGAGAAAAACAATTCAACGGAAGAAGAAGTCAGTACATAGACAAATAAAAATAAATGAAACATATATCTGTAGCAGCAAACTCTCTCAAATGAAACATCAGGAAACATATCTAGCTTTTTAATAGATTGCAGGAATTGAAACTGAATGTATCAAGAGATAGCTCATTCTCTCTTTGATGCACTAAGTTTTTGATACGTCGGCCGGATTTAATTTAAATAGTAAGACTCTGGCACCAACAAGAAATGAAATGAAATGAAATGAATGAATGAATGAAATGAAAAACTTTATTCATGTGTCAAAAGATCTAGCTTACGGAAATCCATACGCTAATCGGGACACCTAATTTTAAAGAGAGGATAGCAATCATTAGCAGCTTTAGTCGCGTTCCTAATCAGGGCCGCTTATTTTTTCTTAACATTTTTAATATTCCAGTGGTTTATTTTTGGATTCACAGGCTTGTTTGCTTTTCTGAGGGCTGCACGCTCAAAGCGTCTTGTTGTTAGTACTTCGTTAGTTTACCGTATACTCACTTCTTGATCTTTCATATGTCGAATACTTGTATGTTTTGACGGAAAAAGGTGCGGTTTGTTTAATACAGTAAGTTAAATTATTGATACCTGTTTCCGTCGAATTATTTTCAGGGAATCGAGGGGCTCTCTCCTCTGGGGAAGCCATGGATTTGAGCAGAAATTACTCCTTTACCATTTTGCTAAAAAAAATCGTTAACTGAGATTCCGTTACACCCGCTCACGCGACGACACGCGTCTCGCGCGTGCTGTTGACCACCACACCAAGCAGTCAGTAGTCAACGGTTAACTGTAGGAGTTTTCAAGATGGCGGTTTTAGGAATGAAACGGAAGAAAAGTTTAAAGAGTTTTATTTGTTTTGCCTTGTGAAAAGAAAGGTTCTTTCTTTAAGAGTGATAACAATGAAAACAAGTGGGTTTATACTTGCATTTGCGCTGATGTGGAGGTATTTTGTTCGCAGAACCAATGGAGGTAAGACTAGCTAATAGTACTAGCTTTTTACACTTAAGTTTATTTCACATAGTTTTTCATTCTTCATCCCAATGATCAATTACAATAGTCGTAAGAAAACGAGAAACGTGTACTGGCTACTTTTTTTTCACTTCCTCTCTTTGCTTGATACCATTGGAGTGAAGCTTTAGTAAAGGTACATTTTACATAGGGCCTTGTGAGATGTTGTTGTTAAGGGCAGTCTACAATGTAGCTAAAAGCTAAGCCGACAGCTTGGTTGTCTTGTACCCTTAAACCTGTCTTGCAACGATGGAAAAACATTATCGCAAGAAAATTACAGAAATTAGTGCAAAAAGACCCATACAAAGTGTGTGCAACTTGACCGTAATTTTGAAATGATGTTTCTATTGTAGCTGTTTCTACATGCCATTTCTGTCATTTTTAATTGATTATACTGACCAGGAATGTCACTAAGATTTCAAGTTGCTGGGTAACTACAACAAATAGGCGGGGAAAAAAACAGCTAGGGATTTCTTTGGTTCTATTTTTCTTCTATTTTCCAATGAAAGTAGCTGAAGACCACATTCATAGTAGCCGGTGGAAATCCTCTGCCCCCACCTCTTAATGCATATATACCAACTCTCCCAGATTATCCTGGAGTCTCCCGGATACAGCACTGATCTCCTGCTCTCCCATATGGGTCCCCAAACCTCCCGCATAAAATGGTCTTTTGAGCTTTTCTGTGCTTTAATTTGAAATTTAGCCCATTTTTTTCTCAAAATTCCAATTTTTTTTTAATTCTTTGGACGGTTTCCGGGACATTTGCACGTATTTAGACACTGACAAAGATTATTTCATCATTATAATTATGAAAGCAAATTTTGAGAGCACCTACTTCATGTAAGACTTCATATTATAATGTCCTAAGCCATGGTGGCTGGGTCAATTTGTGGGAAGGTTGTGGGGTGGGGGGTGGTGAAGCTGTTGACATTTGGGAGGGAGAGAGGAGGGGGGTGTTAGTGCAAAATAAAGAGTCTACAGATTTTAGATGTCCGCAAGTTGGCATCTCTGTTAATAACAGTCCTGACGTGACTACTTTGATTCTTGATAAAATGTTGTTTTAATTTAGCGGTGGTGAATATCAACTTAGCTGGATTCCAGGATGGTGTACTTAATGTGCCCCAAAACAATGAGTTTGGAGAAATACAAGTAGATTTAACAGAGGCAGTGACATCAGTACAGGTTAGCTTATAATGTTGAGTAAAATTCTTTCACTTGCTGGGGAAGAGGAAGGCACCTTTTTGCCTGTATTCTTAACAATGTTATTATTGGATGAGGCTGAGGATGAAACCAAGAATTTCATAGATTGAGGAGGGTGTTATCCGCCTAGGACAAAGGCAGATAGCACCCTTCAGGACTTTGCCTAAGTAGTGATAAAAATTTATCAAGTGTAAACAAGATTAATTCATTGACCCATGTATTTGCTATTTAACAACCAGGCCACAGTTGTTTGCAGCTCTTTGGAAACAGGTCCTGGAATAACAGCTGTAGAGTTTACGAATGTCTCAGCTCCAGTTGGTACAACACAAGTGGATGTTTCATTTAGGTATGCAATTTCTGTCCACTCCTAAGTGGACAGAAAACCCTACACATATATGATTTTGTTTCAACAATACTGGTAAATTGGGAAGTTTGTGCTAAATACAGTGACGTGAACACATACACTCATACCTTCTATGAGACAGTTGCTCTTACATGTACAAGCTGTTTTTTAAAAGTTTGATTCTTACCACCATGATGTGGTAATATTAATATAAAAAAGTAGTTTACCCTGTGTAATTTGTAAGTTCATTAGCCTTACTTGCCAAGCTTTGGTTGACAGTAGGCCATAAATAATTTTGTTTGAAATAAAATGTAATTCAGGATTGTACCATTTATCTTCGAACGTCAAAAAACTGATTCAAAAATACGGTCAACTCTCTCTAAGACGGACATCTTTGGGACTGGCATTAAGTGTCCGTCTTAGAGAGCTGTCCGTCTTATAGGGAGTCAAAGAAAAGGAGTAAAGAAAGGCAGGGACCAACTCTTAAGTGTCCGTTTTACAGAGGTGTTCGTCTTATAGAGGTGTCCGTCAAGAGAGAGTCGACTGTACTGCACACACTCTAAGACCGACACCTATGAAACTGGCACTCTGTGTCCATCTGAGCGAGATGTCCTTCTCACAAATTGTCAATAAAAAGAGTATAGAAAGACAGGGACCAACTCTAGATGTCCATTTTAGCAAGGTGTCTACCTCATAAAGATTCAACTAAAAGGTCTAAACAAAGTAAAGATTTAGGCTGGGACCATCTCCAGGTGTCTGTTTTAGCAAGGGGTATATTTAAAAAGAGTCAACTAAATGGAGTAAAGAGAGGCAGGGACCCACTCTAAGTGTTCGGTTAAGCAGTTTGTCCATCTTACAGAGGTGTGCCTTTAGAAAGAGTTGGCTGTAATAGCTACTGATTCAGGACAAATTTCTAAAGTTAAGGTGGTGGCTCACTTATTGCTTAGAACATTACTGTATGCACAGGCTGCTTTACATTAATTATTAACCCCCATCATCCTCCTCTTCATGGCTAAAGTGACTTTCCTTGGATGCCCTATGCGTTTTTTAAAAGGTAACTTGACATAATTTATTTTGTACTTTTTACACGTACAGGATCATATCCCCAGGTAGACCTGTTACAATCCAGTGTTCAGCCCAGAGTGCAGGAAGCAATCCACAGTTTACATTACCAGGATCTAAAGGAAACAATGGGTGATTAAGACACTAAATATAGTTTCCCTAAAATATGTCCTTAACCCTTTAACCACTGTGAATATCAAAATCAAAATTCTCATTTGGTGCCCCTGTACATTTTTACTGAAGAAGTGGGGAGAAGTTGTTGAAGTATCAACTTATTATTTTTGTTGTGATCATGTCCTTAACTCTTGTCACCATTCCATTTAAAAAGGGTTGATTTTACAAGGAGAAATTTGATGCTGATCACTCTTAGAGCTTATGTGCATGCAAGGTTGAGATCACCTTTACCTGCAGCCATGTTAAAATCTATCAGAAAGCATGATGTGACTTTGATATACATGTACCCGATTTAATGAGCCTCACCATGGCTGCATTATACTTATATGTAACTTCTACTCTATTGTTTTTAACTCATTAATTCCTTAAGGCTATCAATGAATTTTTGTAGGTGTTGAGGTCAAATTGGATTTCAGGATAAAATTTTTTAACCTAGGTTGACTCTCAATTTCCTTTGTTCACTCTGGCTAGAAGAAAATGGAAATTGAGAATCAAACTACATGTAGGTTAAAACCAAAGGTATTATTCAGGTTCAAGATATAACCTGAAATCAAATTTGATGTGTAAGATAAGCACTTCGATATGCAATTGTGTGACTCAGTCACAACATAGACGTATACACTGTATTTTAGTCATAATTAGTCAGCTCCAAAAGAGAGGGTCCAATTGGAAAAGTCTGTAGCAGATCCACTGAATGCTCACCGAAACTTTTCATCACATTTTTATGTTGTGACTGGAGACAATATCATGAGACAAAATGGAATTTGTGTGTTCTCTGTGACTGTAATGTGGTATTTGAATGGTCATGTCATGAAGTGAACCCAAATAACTTTTGCCCATGGATACACTAAGACTGTTTTGCTTTAGTTTAAGCATTAAAGTTCACAGTCAGTGAGTTGCCCCAAAATAAATGCCTGTCTTACTCAGTAACCTTATCATGCAAATGTCAGTCAGGAATATTTTAAGTGGATCAAGTACATGTTAGAGTCAAGACTTGACCAGCCACCTCTCATTTATGTTCCTTCTTACTTATTTGCTATCAATGGATTTGATTATTGGTAATAATGCATTTTGTTTAGCAGCTCACTTCACCCTGTTACCTGTACATGTATCTCAAGATGCCTGATGTGAAGTACATGTACTTGTAAGAGGGCTTTTATGACATTTAAATTACTATTAATATCTGTACATGATGAGCTTTTATAGGTTTATGAACTCTGCTTACAATGTTTATTATTTTTAAAGTATGACTTTTCTCTAAGTGTTTAATTCTTTCTCAGGTCCTTGCATGTCATTAAAGCACCAACAGTTCACATTTGTCCTGATGTCATCTTAGTTCACAAGTATCTACTTAAGTCAACTGTTCAAGTGCTGTTCAGGTGCTGTTGTTTATAAATATAAGCTACTTGATTTATTTTTGATAAAAGTTAAGGTTAAGGGTTTTCTTATTGGGGAAATGGCACTTAGCTTTAATACCAAGCTATAGCTTACAGGCAGTTCTCTCAAATACTTAGAAACAAGTAATTCAGATATAACATAACAGGATTAAAAACCCCAACTGGCAGGAGGAAACCAGTTCGCTATTACATGCGTGGCTGAGGATTTGAACTCGAGAGGATGGCAAGTGGAGACCCGGCAAGTGACCAGAGTTGGACTCAAATCTGGGACCACTGGATTGTGAGTCCGACTTGCTGACCACTCAGCCACACTGGCTCCATTTTAAACCAAACACTTAACATGGCATTTTAAGAAGGTTTATCACAAGTTATTATTATTTTCTTTTCAAAAGAAGTAATTAATAATATTATGATTTAGGTAGGATCACTTCTCAGGTTACAGTCAAGCCAGGTCAAATGTACAGTGTGCCCCCCAAGATTCCATGAATGGATTTATTTTCCAAAGGTTGCAACCATTGTTAGTTGAAGATCTTAGATTCATCTCTGCATTCCTACATGCATGATAAGCAATGAATTCACATACGAGGTAGTCATGAAATTTCTACCAGCTCAATTTCCATGGATTTGGTGGAAATGTCTTCAAAGCAATTTTGTCCATTCAAAGATTATTCAATCTCACCGACTACACACTGCTCATCATGCATGCAGAATTTGAAACTGGTTTCGGCAACAACTAATGGATTCATTTTTCAAATAATTCATTAATGGAATATTGGGGGAGGGGAGGGGGGGTGGGTAATTGCGTGACCTGTCTTGACTGTACTGTAAACCAGTACTCAACCTAGTTTGTTCTGGTATTTTCTTTGTTGTGTTTTCTGGCCCTAATTATACAATGAAGGCAAGGGAAATTCTGCTATAATCGTAGATTGGAATTTACCTGCAACATGTATCACTCAATATTAAAGTCAATTGTTGTTATTTGTTGCACAGTGAAAGGATACAACAGTTTGCGGTCAAAGTGAAATGTTCTGTAGTTGAACCAGAGCCTGGTTAGTCCATCATATCATTTAATAATAACAAAATCTTTACCTAGACCCTCTGCATAATTATGTTAACAATGTAAAAGTATCATAATTATAGATTAGTTCTCATTTAGTTCAGGATGGCATGTAGAATATATGCAGCCATGTCATCTGACATGTTGATGGTCATGGAGTGGTGGTTGCCGCAGACCATTGACCAATAGCTGACAGATACTGGGCTAACGCCCTGGATGATACATGTATCTGGACAGATTTTAAGCAAGGAAAGAGGGTCAATGTCTCACTCAAGGGACTAGATCATGGTCAGTCCATTACTGTATGCTTTTGTACAGTAATCCATGGACCCCTGATTGGGCCATTTAAGCTGTGACTCTGCCATTACTTGTCTCTCAGTTCTTTGTAAACACTTGGTTACTGTGTAATTCACATGCTTGGCCTAAGATGGACCCTTCTTAGTTTCCCACATTCCCAGTTGAGTGCTGACTGTCAGAAAAAAAAATGAACAAAGGGGAGAACCAGCCAAATTAACATTAATTTTTATAACTACCGGTAGTCATAGTAGTAGTACGCCAATATTAATAGGGCAAATCGACTTAACAGAACAAATATTAGACCTAAACTTCTTTCTTAAAGAAAAAGGTACAGTTTCTGCTTTGTTTTACTGACTAAGACGTAATGGTACAATTTAACTTGTACCATTAAACTTTTTTTAAAAAAAGGTATATTTTGATCCTTTTTTTATGATTCTGTATGTCTAGGTGGTCCAGCAGTGTTGCAGTTAAGATTTACAGAAACTAGTGTGGTTCCTGATGTCATTGAAACCCAGGTACCACTTGTTTTATGGTGGCTCACAATGATTGCTGAATTTTTTTAGCAATTCCCTGATATGTGGATAATACTTCCCCTCTTTTAACCGCAGTAGGATTCAGTGCTCAGTCGGTAAAGCACTGGACTGCAAAGCGGGAGGTCATGGGTTTGATTCCCAGGGCTGCACCACTACCCAGGGTCTTAAAATAATTGAGAAATTAAATTGCTGCTTTTGCCTAGCAAATGGTTAGACCTTTGTTTGGCTCAGATAGCCACGTAAAATGGTGGTCCTGTCTCCGGAAGGAGACATAATAATAGTGTGCCCAATTAGTACTTTTGTGCTAAATACATTGACACTCAATTATGAAGGTGCATCTTTTTTTCCAAATGACGTAACAACAGCTGCATCAAACAAATGCCCAGTCACTAGTAGACATGACACCGTCACATTCTTGGTGCACAAAATTCCCATGGCAGTGGTAAACTTAAAAATGCTGCTAACTCAAAATGGGTTTGCTAAGGATGTCTATGACAAACTGTTCCTGTTCTGGCAACCTAAAAAATGTCAACAAACTTTACATGATATTTGTTCACCAATAAAGGGGCGGAATCCTGATGCAATGAGGCACCCGGAGACTGGGGAAATGTGTTCCTTGGTGTGTTATATCAAGGTCCTCTTCCTTACATTTTACCGTAGCTGGGGCAAAGAAAATCATTGTATACTGGGAGTTCGTTTTATTTTCGAGGGGTTCATTTTATCAAGGTTCCACCTTGAGGGGGTAATTTTGAAACATACCATTAATTTACCATTAAAGTGAAAGTACTAAAAGACGCTCAAAAGGGAGATATAAATACTTGAGGAAATAAGGTCTTTGGTTTTGTATCCCAACAATTAAATTTTCGTTCTTTCCTGTCTGATTCAAGTAACCGATCAACTGGCTTTTTCGTTCAACTGTTGTAGGTTTCGTATGAGATTGTTGCACTTGGTGCTCCTGTGCAAGTGGTCTGTAGTGCACAGTCGACCAACCTTACTGCAATCCCAACACCACTGAACCCTCCAGTTCCAACACCCTCAACTCCTCAGCTATCAAGCAGTGTGAATCAGACGTCTGTATCAGCCACAAGTGTAAATGCATCTGCATCAGTTATTGGAGGTAGTTCGAAGAGGAGGCGGAGAAGAAGCATCCTTTCTAGTAACAGGACAGTACTTCAGTATCAGTTTAGCACTTCAGCAGGTAATGCAAGTAACTCAAACTGAATCCTGTCACGTTGCCACCAGACCATCTCGCCACCAACCAAATCGCTATCAAGAGGTCGATTCGCTGCCAACCAAATCGCCACCAAGACTAGTAACTCTAAATACCAAGGATTATACCGTAAATCCCCCCCCCCCGGGGAGCTTATTTATTTCAAGCCCATTTGAGGGAGGGGGGCTTAATGGAGACGGGGGGCTTATTTGAGAGGGGGGGATTTCTTAGTTTAGAAATGACATTGGTATCACTTCTCCATAAAAAACCAGAATACGAAGTGGAAAAGCTCAAGTACAAGAAGTTTTAGGTCACACAGCCGAGGATCAGAATCAAATGCGATTTTCCAGTTGTTAAATAAACCATCCTGGATCAGTCCACACGAAGTTTTACAGTCGTGGTTGATTAATACAAGCTATCAATTATTAGTGAAGAATAAATGGGGGCGGGGGGGCTTATTAACTTTCTTCCCCTTAAAAGGGGCAGGCTTATTTGAGAGGGGGGCGCTTAATAGAGAGGGGAGGCTTATTAACTTTCTTCCCCTTAAAAGGGGCAGGCTTATTTGAGAGGGGGGCGCTTAATAGAGAGGGGAGGCTTATTAACTTTCTTCCCCTTAAAAGGGGAAGGCTTATTTGAGACGGGGCGCTTAATAGAGAGGGGAGGCTTATTAACTTTCTTCCCCTTAAAAGGGGAAGGCTTATTTGAGAGGGGGAGGGGGGGAGCTTAATAGAGGATTTACGGTAAGACAGTGCGGACCGGTTTCCATGTAATAACATGTTTAGTTCTTTCTTAACTTAAGTTGATCCTAATTGAAACATGCGTCGAATTTCCCATGTTCTTACTGACATAATGCAATACTGACATGATAGATTCAACGTTTAAGATATGCCGTAAAAGTATCAAACATCGCGGCGGATGTGCTTAACGGAGACATAAAAATATTAAATGGAAACCGATTATATGGATTTCGTGTTATATCATCTTACGTCCTTGGTAAGTGGGTCAGTTATAGGGGGTATTAGTCTTGGTGGCGAGTTGGTTGAGAGCGAGTCCACTTCTTGTGGCGATTTCGTCGGTGGCGAGATGGGGGCGAGATGACCGTAAATCATATCATGAGTCACCCAGGTGACACCCAGAAGGGTACTTAAGGCAACTTTTGCTGGGTAATGCTACTACTTTGTGGCCTTATAATGTTCCAACTCCATTACAGTCTATGGAGAGCTTGCTCGCGGGTTATAGCCTTTACTACCTCGTTCCCCTGGTCCCACGGACCCCTGCACCGAGAGAGAGGGAGACAAGGAAAGGACCCTGGGAACGATGTTGTAGCCAATAAAATTGTAGACCCTGTCTAAGTCCGGTTTTTGCAGATTGTTGATCTCAGCTTTGTTTTCAAAATGTGCGACGCCAGTTTTAGACAAAGAAGTATTTTTTTTTCCTTTTTTTCTACAGGGCCTCCTGTAACGTTCGCTCTGGACGTGTCTCCTCTACGGATTATACCACGAGCTGGCTTTATCCGGGCACCTAACGGCAGTTTCAGTGCAGTCCTGGCACTAAACCAACCAGCTGACAACACCGTGGACATCACGTGTTCTCTAGACACGGTGTCGCCAGGGGCCGACTTAAGTAATACTTTAGGGCTGTGTTCCAATGCGCCAACAGATAAATTGACATTTGCAAACAGTACTGTGGAGATAAAACTCGACACTGTTACAATTGAGTTCCGGGTCAGATTTACTGTAGAGATTTGAAAAATTACATCTTTGTTTACTATTATACTTTGTTAACTTCGAATTTTAACAGGACGAAGCGCAATTAGTTTTCGTCTTTTAAACTATACTAACAAAGTGTAGATTGCGAGTCATTTCTTACAATAAGCCCTACTAGGGAGTTTTTGCAACAATGAGACAGCAGCAGAAACGTCAGTATAAAAAATAAGTTCGCGTTTTGTGAATCTTGGTGATTCTGATTTAAAAGTGACAAACCTAGGTGAATTTTCCGGGAGTTGAATTCTCGGGACTCGGGACCACTCCCTAGTTAAGAAAGAGAAAAAAATATTCTTCGTTTTGTGTTTACA